ATTAGAATTATTTTATTGACTTGTTATGGCATTAAGTAGCTACAGTTATTTTTTTGTTCTTTAACATCTTGTAGTATATCTTTTCAGTATACCAAAATTAAGGCTCATATGTATTAAAAGTAAATGTGTGGTGATTTTTATCTTAAGCATGGCATTGTTCCACAAAAGGTGATGCTGTATGTTGAATATCTGTCCTGGACACATTTTCATCTCCACCAGCTAGTTTTAAAGGGTTGTCTTTTACGCATTTATTTATTCAGGTTTGTTATAAACAGACACAGTAGGGGTTGCACAGTAGTTCAGGTTAAATTGTTCCTCAAAAGGCCTGCTGGATTAACTGGATGGCATGTAACTGTTCTGGCATTCTTAGCTAGCACTAATTTTGCGTTACTTACCCCATGAAACAACTCTTTAACCTCTTAATATGCATGCATTGTTTCGAATTACTAACCTTTTGCCATTAATTTTTTTTCTAGCGTTCTAATGCGCATTATTCCATGAAAGAAGCTGAATGAATTTACTCTCCCTTTGACCTTAATAGATTGATTCGACACAGTTGTTGTAAATGTACATTTACCTCAAATCCTCAACACTGTTGATTATTATCTAGAAACTGATTAGCGTTGTTCATGTGTGCTGACTGTTAACCAACTGTCTGGTCCCCTTTTCCAAGCTGGAGTCCCCTTTGAGTGTTGAGACAGAGCCCCAGATGAAGAGGACTGAACTGGTTAGTTCTCAAGCTCAGAGCTTAACAAAGAAGTACCAGGAAACCAAAGAGATCCTGCAGCTTCAAGAACTGAAAAAGCGCAACATGCAGGCACAGCTTGGCCTTTCTCTCTCACACTGGCCCGCAAAGGAACCTTACCTTTCTGACACCAAAAAACCCGCCACCTCTGAGGTCTGTCCCTCAAACTCCATTCAAAAAACGGTCAGCTTCATGCTTCAGGATAGCGAGGGAAAGATCAGAGAGCTAGAGAGCTTGATAGATGCCAGTGAGCCTCTGACATTAAGAGAGCTGATAAAGCTCATGCATTCACATAGCGAATACGTTGGGGTAGAAAGTCCTCAAGGACAGGAAAGCAGTGAGTCAGTTGGAGAAATGTCGCAGAAACTGTTGGAAAGCCTCAAAAACCAACAGGAGAATGAGACAATGAGGAAAAGCTTGGAAAAGGCTGGAGACTGTATTCGGGACTATGAAGCTCGTTTGGTCACCATGGAGGACATGTTGGGAAGAGTTCATAGGCAGAAAATGGAGAGTTCGTTTGTACTAGGTTGCTCGAGGGAAGACCATCCGGATCGGTCGCAGCAGGTGGAGTTGCTCGCGAGCGAAAATGTAGCTTTGAACCAGCGCTATCAGGAAATTGTGAACCAGTTGATAGAAGCAGATCGAGAGATAGACAGGCTGAAAGCTGAGCTTTGTAGACTACGTAGCGGTCAGCAATATCCACATTCCAACATGGAACAGGAGCAAGAAAACAAAAAGACCTCTGAGAAAAATGTGTACAAGCAAGAACTCCATGAAAAGTCACAGAAGCTACAAGAGGCTCTTATTAAATTGGAAACTCTTGGTAATAATTTGAAAGATACAGAGAAAAGATTGCAACTTAAAGAAGCAACTCTTAGGGGTCTTGGATTTCAGGTGGCAGAAAGTGAAAAAGATGATAAAGAGTTAGATTCGGAGACAAATGACCTCAAGCGCCAATTGGAGGTCCTTCAGTCCAAGCTTTCAGAGAAGGACAAGCAGCTTCAAAATGCTGAGCAGGTCTGTAGAGAACTTCAGTCCCAGAATGCGAAACATGAAGAGACCGCAAGGATGTGTAGTCAGATGCTTGTAGATACTCAGGAGGAAATTAGGACGTTGAAAGAGAAGGCAGGCACTCAAGGTACGTTTGGTAGTGAACCAGGAACAGAAATTGGGTGCCAAGAGTTGATGCAAAAACTCACAAATGAAGGTGTAATTGAGGAAGTCGTGGAAGAGTTCAAGAGCAAGTCTAAATCTCTTAATCATCTACTTGACATGTTGGTAATAGGCAGTAAGACAGATTTGTCCAACACCGGCATGGACACCAACATTTTGGATGAGAATCATGGAGGAATGATGGAGATGTTTGAGAGATTGATTCTACATAAGGTTTTAGCTGGTTTAGAGGACTGTCAAAAAGGCTCAGAGGTTGAGCAAACCCTAAGGAAAGTTGTAGAACGTATGCTAGTGGATAATGAAATGCTGCTTCTTATGAATAAGCTCTCCAACCTCCAAGAACTTCAAAGTGACGCAAAACCTGCATCTTGCACAGAAAAAAGTGCTGGATATGGAAATGCACTGAATGAAGAGACAATGAAATCGAATGTTTTGAATTGGTTGCCTGATGATGCTGCCAAACCCTGCGTCATGAAGACTCTTGCTGAAGTCATTCAGAAGAAAGTGACGCTATTGAATCAAGCCGCTTCTGCTCTTAGGGAACAAACTAATGAGGAGCTTCAATCATTGGCTTTGACTCTGTCAAGCTGTGGCACTCAAAGAACCTGGTCTGAGTATGTTCGTGAGGCCATAATGGACATAACATGCATGTACTTGGTAGTTCTTCAAATGTTGCCAAGGACAAGACCGTCAGACCTGTCTGCATGTGCAAATTGTGCAGATTTGAGAGCACAACTCGAGTCTAAGAAGCAGGTGTTGTCAAGCGTCCAGAGTCCCATCGGTGTAACCCACATTCAGATCGAAGGAGAACCAATTGACTCTCTGGACAAGGCCATACAGCTTCAGGACATGATGGCCAAGCATAAGAAGGAGCTGCGAGAATTAAAGGAGGCGTACGAGCAAGAAGCAGAAAAGCTGAGGCTGGAAGTGGCCAAGGCTGGTGAGACTCTGAGACTGAGATCCGAGGAGAACGTGAAAGAGATCGACTCTCTGACGGTGTGCATGGAGAACCTGAAGAAGAAGCACGAGATGGAGCGTAAGGACTTAATAGCACACTTCAATCAAGAGATGGAAGAGCTTACGGATGCCGTCGGCCCTGTCGAACCTGCAACAGATAGCGAGCCAAACTCAACTTCCCTCAAAGTGCGGCTCCAAAAACTCGTGTCCCGGCTGTCCGAACTGACTGAGGAAACAAATCTGCGAGATCGTGATGCGACATTGCTGCGTCTGAAATACGAGAAAGACCTGGAAAACCTAAAGGTCAAGGAGATCCGTGTCCTTGCTGTTCTCCGTCTGTATTGACTTCATGTGGCAACCTTAAACCTGATCCTTTCCCCTCCTTTTCTCATACTAACCCTGCTTTGTGGTGCTTTGGTCTGGCCTAATATTTCTCACCAGTGATGCATGGCTGCTAACTATAGGTTTGCATGTACGGTTTAACGCTAGGAATTTGGATGAGCCAACTGTGATGAGAGGAAAATACACCATTCTCTCACTGAAGAAGCCATTTCTAGATAATTTAAGTCCAATGGAGAACAATTAAGAATCCATTCGTCAGATGTTTTGGAGAATGCATAACTGCATACTCCTTATGTCAGCAAGTCTGAAAACTTATGTGGTTCTCCTGGTTGACTTTGATCTGAACTTGTTCTCACACTTAACCTCTTTGCCTGATTAACAGTCAGTGCTCTTTGCATAAATTGCTGCTTATCTTTGATAACTGCAAAATGCCAGCTGCATAACTTAATAACAAATAATGCATGACAATAACTGAAATGTTTTATTTTAAACAATTGCTTAAGTACATATGAAAGTATTTGTGAAAGAATTGACTTTGAAGAGAGAGATGATTAAATTGCATTGTATTATTAGAATATAGCAAATTTAGATAATAAATTATATCAATTACAGTATTGGATTGTTGCACCAACTAAGCGGAACATCTGGCAATTTAAAATTTCCAAGTACTGACAAAAAACAGTTAATGTTTTGTACTCTGTCACTCAGTTACTGATTAAAAACACATGGATAATGGGAAAAATTAGAATAATTTCTGTAGTTTTCTATTATATTTTGTCAGTGTGATATGGCCTTAAAGAC